CAAGGCCACACCACACATCAATGTCTTCTTATGGGCGTCCAAGCCTGCCGTTTGCCAGCCCTTAAACGCTTAAAAACCTTCCAAACCTCCAAACCCTTAAAACCCTTACAACCCGTCATGGGGGGTCCAAGCCTGCCGTTTGCCAGGCCTTCAACACAAGGGAACCTTGGCATGCTTCATCCTGCAGCCAACAGGCACTCCAAGGCCACACATCAATGTCTTCTTATGGGCGTCCAAGCCTGCCGTTTGCCAGCCCTTAAACGCTTAAAAACCCTCCAAACCCTTAAAACCCTTACAACCCGTCATGCGGGGTCCAAGCCTGCCGTTTGCCAGGCCTTAAACACAAGGGAACCTTGACATGCTTCATCTTGCAGCCAACAGGCACTCCAAGGCCACACATCAATGTCTTCTTATGGGCGTCCAAGCCTACCGTTTGCCAGCCCTTAAACGCTTAAAAACCCTCCAAACCCTTAAAACCCTTACAGCCCGTCATGGGGGGTCGAAGCCTGCCGTTTGCCAGGCCTTAAACACAAGGGAACCTTGTCATGCTTCATCCTGCAGCCAACAGGCACTCCAAGGCCACACCACACATCAATGTCTTCTTATGGGCGTCCAAGCCTGCCGTTTGCCAGCCCTTAAACGCTTAAAAACCCTCCAAACGCTTAAAACCCTTAAAACCCTTACAACCCGTCATGGGGGGTCCAAGCCTGCCGTTTGCCAGGCCTTAAACACAAGGGAACCTTGGCATGCTTCATCCTGCAGCCAACAGGCACTCCAAGGCCACACATCAATGTCTTCTTATGGGCGTCCAAGCCTGCCGTTTGCCAGCCCTTAAACGCTTAAAAACCCTCCAAACGCTTAAAACCCTTACAGCCCGTCATGGGGGGTCCAAGCCTGCCGTTTGCCAGGCCTTAAACACAAGGGAACCTTGGCATGCTTCATCCTGCAGCCAACAGGCACTCCAAGGCCACACATCAATGTCTTCTTATGGGCGTCCAAGCCTGCCGTTTGCCAGCCCTTAAACGCTTAAAAACCATCCAAACCCTTAAAACCCTTACAACCCGTCATGCGGGGTCCAAGCCTGCCGTTTGCCAGGCCTTAAACACAAGGGAACCTTGTCATGCTTCATCTTGCAGCCAACAGGCACTACAAGGCCACACATCAATGTCTTCTTGTAGGCGTCCAAGCCTGCCGTTTGCCAGCCCTTAAACGCTTAAAACCCTTAAAAACTCTCCAAGCGCTTTGTCTCTGTTGCTAGGGCGTCCCTGCCTAGGGCGCCTCGCGGCAGCCTCCACCAAGCCCTGCGGCCGTAAGCCCTTGCTGTTCCAGCGTTGCAGCCTGCCGTTTGCCTGCGAATAGCCCTCTGTTGTTAGGGCGTTCAAGCCTGCCGTTTGCCAGCCTTCAAACCCTTAAAACCCTTAAAATTCTCCGTTGCCAGCCTTCAAACCCTTAAAACCCTTCAAACCCTTAAAACCTCTAAAATGCTCCGAATCCCTCGCGGCAGCTTCCACCAAGCCCTCCTGTAAGCCTTTGCTGTTCCAGCGTTCCAGCCTGCAGTTTGCCTGCGTTTGCCTGCATAGCCCTCTGTTGTTATGGCGTTCAAGCCTGCCGTTTGCCAGCCTTCAAACCGTTATTCAAACCCTTAAAACCCCTAAAACCCTCCAAATCCCTCGCGGCAGCTTCCACCAAGCCCTCTCTCTATCTCTCCCTCCCTCTCTCTCCCTCTCTCTACAGCACCCCCCAAATAGGGGGGGTCGGCGGCACCAGGGCGCTAGCCCATTCTATTTGGGAAATCCCAGGAACCTTGTCAAACAAGCTGAAAGAATGGAAGACCAGGGCACTAAACCTCTAAGCCTCGCACATGGGTTTGAAGGGCTCTTCAACACCAACAAACCTAGATGTCAAACGAAAGCACATTGTGATGTCCACCGATGCTTGCCAGGGTAACCCACAAACAAGTGGCACGTCAAGGCAGCCACAGATCAAGATGGGAGCAACACATTTTTTCTTTGGCGCAGTTGTCCCGTAGCGGATAGAACATATTTCTGTCAACAAAACAAGGCAACTCTTGAGAATCTTTGACCCGTTTCTGAAGGATTTTTTGGTCGCCATCTCAGTTTTCCGCAGCATCAAACCGTTCACAAAATTCATCATCTATCCGAATCTATCCGCTACAGAATGACTTTATACTTCAGCTGAAAGTGTCATTGGCAATTTTGATTCCCAGGGGAATCCAGGAAGTGAGAATTCGATCCCATTCGAATCCTTGCCACATTTATGGCCAAAACAAACGTCGACCCATTCGACCCAAAAAACTGGAGGTTTTTTTAACCCAAAAAGAGGGTCTCTAAATTTTAGAGATGAATTTTTCCCGCAATTCATGGCAATTCGAATTTTAGAGATGATTTTTTCCCGCAATTCATCTAGCCATTCGAATCAGGAAAAAAATGACATCAATCGGTTCCCTGGCTGTGATAGAATCAGTCAGTAGTTCTCCTGACAACATCGGCAAGTGATTTACTGAGAAAAAAACCATATTTTTTTTGGAAATTTTCGCCGGTTTTTACCTATCCTTTTTGGGGGTATAGCTACACATCTCCAACGGCTCAAGTACGTAGCCTTCAGGTCATCAGCTGGTCGCCTGGAATATGGGGGAACAGATCTTAGCCATTTTTCATGGGAATATACTTGCTGGATATTTTATTTATATTTTCAGTTTTTTTTTGTATTCAACATTTCATGGGGTTCCATGTTGAACAAATTGGGGTTCCATGTAAATTTGCCATGCACCGCCAATGAAATTTCAATCCATTCTCCAGTGTTTCGATGGAAATGTTCCAACAGTATCCAAAGTGCTTTGGAATACCCTCTGGTAAACCATAGGAAAACCATAGGAACGTGGTGGTTTAATGGGATTTAATGGGATATAACCTCTGGTAAACTAACATAGCTATGGAAAATCACCATGCTATTAATGGGAAAACTCACTATCAATGGCCATTTTATAGCTTTTTGTATGTTTACCAGAGGGTAACCATCCACATCTGATTCATCCTGCAGGATGCCAACCTTACGCAGATCTGGCCACCCCAACCCCATCTCCAAATTGCCCATGGCGACACCCGCAGTCCAGCCTTTTTCTTCGCTTTCGTGGCAGTCTTTGTGCCAGTTGAGGCCGTTTTGGCAGTTTTGGCCGCCTGCATTCCCAAGCTGGTTGCTGGTTTTAAATCCTTTTGAACAATGTCAAAGTCATATGAAAGCCACTTAATGAGCATCATAGCGATGTAAGTTTCAATTGCTTGACTCAAATGGAGTCTTTTTCCTCGAGGTCTATGGACATAACCTGCTAAACTTCAAAATTGGTATAGACATGGCAAATTACGATGCATGAATACTGAAACTGGGCATGACTTACTCGAAACCAATCTTGCAACTGCTACCCTTACCGGTCCAATAGCAAGTCTTTAGTGAAAATCAGCTAGTTCATAAGGTCCTTAACCATTCCCCAGTGGGTTTTACCTCGTTCCCAGGTTACATCTCCATCAAAAAATGCTGCCTTGATGCATCCATTTACTGGAACATCTCCTGCGGAAAGCATCTGTTTCTTTACAGCTATACATGGGTTAAATCCGATGAAATCCACATCTCTGTTGGTTAAAATACTTCGAAACCAATTTAAACTCAGAATGATGGTTGAATCTCTTACAACCATGATATATATTGCTCCATGGTAACTGCTAAATCTCCGACGGCAGATCCACCAATGCCTTCTTTGGGGCAGACTTTGTGCCTTGAGCTTCTTTAGGTCTCAGCAACTTCTGCAGTGAAAACCATGGGTATTTCACGGTGATACCACCATGAGTTGGGATAAAGTTGAGATTTGACCCACAAAAATGGAGCAGTTGACCAATCTTAGATGCTGGAGTTTATTGACCAAACATGGTGATTTGACTGGTTCAAACAACAATTGAACAACACGGTTTCGAATATACGATATATATATACACACTACAATACAATACAGTACAATACAATATAATATACTATAATACAATAAACTATGATATAATATACTATAACATGATATAATCAAATACAATATAATAACAGAGAGTATGACATAATATAATATATTATAAATATCAATATGAATATAAATATTAATAGTGATGTATATATATATATATCTATAAAATCTTAATATTAAAACAAACATATTAACACTAAATTTAATATTAATATAGATTTCAACCTAAATATAAATAAATAAACATATGTACATATATACATATATACGTATATTATGGGATATTATGGGATGTTAGTTTTGGGAACCGCAAGTGGCTGATCCGCCGATCCCAATGGTTCAAGGATTTTGCCTTTGGATCATCGCATTTTTGAAGGAAAAATGCGATCATGGAACATGGTTGGGACACCATCGTTTTTACCATAGTTTTGAATCATGGGACATCATGGAACCATACAGGATGGGGCCCCCAAACGTTATGTTTGTTGGTTTATAACCCCATCTAAATATAGTTATTAGATGATGTTATTTGCGTATCATACACCAACTTGTTATGTCTTGTTATGTTCACCAACTGAACGCCATTCCGAACTGGGGAAAAACCCTGTAGAAACCACGAGTTTCTACCGCTCCAGCTGAGCGGCTGCACCAAGTGTAGGAGTTGGTGACTCCGGAGGAACTTGTGAATCTCTGGTGCTTGCACCGACAGCCTTAAGAAGTTGCCACGACCTCGCGGAAAAGGCCCTGTGAGGTTGTGTAAAACTACGAAGTCCTGGGTTGGTTCGACCTTCACTATGACAAAAATTGGGCAACTCCTCAGTTTTATGGTTCAATCGGAAAACAAATCCCCACTAGTAACATTACGTAACGTTACCCTCTGGTAAAATTTCACTCACATAACGATGGAAAATCCACCCATATTTTATAGCTGGGTTTTTCTCAACTATTTCGACTGGGCAATTTTCAATAGCAAACTGTTTGTTTAGAGGGTATAAGCCATCCAACCATTGGGGTAGCCCCATGGGCTGACGAAACCACCATGGGCCATAGCACTGGATGGGGATACTTCGCCCAGCGGGTGCAGTTCCAGCAACGATGCCACCATATTGGGAGGCCCAAAATGGATGCAGTTTTCCCGCAGTCGACGTTGAAACGCCTTCAAAATAAACATCCATCTAATATGGACCATACTTTTTCATACTTTTTCAGGGTCACCCAATATTCCTTCTAATATTCCCTAAGTGGGTTATCACATCTAATATTCCATACTTAATAAACGGTTAATAAGCCACTGTTATGATATGTAATCTGTTTATAGATGTGATAACCCACTTAGGGGACGTACTAACTAGGGTTATTAACCACAAAGGATGATCCTCCAAGTATGTTCGATCATTGTTCATGGTTAAATTGGTGGTATATATCTATCTATATCTATATATATATATATCAATATATATATATATCTATATGCACACATGGATATCCAATCATTTCCCAAAGGATTCATTTCCTCTGATTGAATCCACTCCTGGCCCCGTGGGCACGTCGGCACAGCTCCCGGCACCACCGGAGCTCCCAACCCAGCGAGGTAAGAGATCCACGACCATCGGTGAGCGAATGCACGGCTATGACCTGCGATGGCTATGACCATACCATACCAATATCCATAGATTTCATGGGAAAAGATCATTAAAACACCATACAATTTATGGGAAAATATGGGAACATCTCATCAATAAATGTTTTTAACCAATGATGGAGATTACCATCAATATCCCCATCATTTATCATATTCATACCATCTGCAATAGATTTCATGGAGATTTAACCATCGATAAATTAGGTGGACATATCAATGGAGAATACATGGAATATATCGGTAAATTAGGTGGATATATCATCTATTTTCATGGGAAAAGATGGGAACATCTCATGAATAAATGGAGATTTAACCATCAAAACGAGCAATTTTCTTCGATGATAAATACATTCGTTTTGCCATGATCATAGGGTGTTTCAATGAGAAAAATGGGGATGTAACCATCAATGATGGTTTCATGGGGGATTCATGGGTATTTGATGGTGACATATCATATTTTTGGGGATGTCATGGGATACTGCATGAGAGAAAGATCACCTGCAATCTGAACCACCCATGGTCCTGATCGAACACATCCACACCAGTCCAGATATATCATGTTTTTCCACCTTTTTTTTTTTAATATCCAGATTTATCATTAATCATTAATCACCATGAAAAGCACTATCACCATTTTCAAATCTGGATGTTGCCATCACTCCAGACATCAAAAAAGCGACAGCCGTGCCGCCCAGGAAACGCCTGGCCGCCCCGCCGCGCCTCGTATTGGTTGCGTTCGGGTGAAAAGCGATACACGGCGCTGCCAGAACTCCCAGGATTGCCGAAGACCTGGGAATCGCTGGAATCGCTGGCGGTCTTGGCCTGAAAGCTATGGTGAATAGCGGGGAAATGGAAAACAACGTATATACAGAATTACATATATATATATATATGTATGTACTATATATATATATGTATATGTATATAATGATATGATATATGATCCATATCAGTGAACTTGTGGATCACACTAGCCTTTGGTCAAACATGGCTAGCTCAGAAATCCTCTATGAATGGATATAAATGGGGAATTTACCAGCAGACCATGATTGATTGTCGCAGGGCATCCTTCAGAAAGAAATGTTTGAACCACTGGGGTTCTGTCCCATCTGCCTTCCAACTCTCCTGAAAATAGCTACTGACCCAAGCCGTTTGGACCTGGCAAATGAAGGTGGTACATGAGAACCCCCAATTTCTTGAAAACTTTGCAAAACCCAGCCCAAACGCCCAAACGGTGAACTTGGGAAATCATGGTTCATTCATTTTTTGGACCCATTTTACCCGTTATAGCACCAACCAATTTGTTATCATCCTAATTTCCCACAAGCATTTCACGAATCATAGAATTGCCAAGATTCTTTTCCAAAAAAACCGCCAAACATTTCCAACAAGGACTTGCTGTACCTACAGGATTTTTCCCCACAGTGATGTGAACGTTGGTTTATAAACCCTGAAATAATCCCCATTAACTATAGTTATATTTACATATATTTAGTTATGTTTGTTGGTTTATAAACCCTGAAATAATCCCCATTAACTATAGTTATATTTACATATATTTACCATAAACCATAGAATTCAGCCACTCATAAACCAACTGGGTTCCTTTAAAAAAGGGCAACATGACTTGGTTCCCGCCTGGGACAACATGAGACCAATCCCCGCACGGACTTCGGAGAGAGAGGCCACATGACCTGGGTGTTTGGATTATTCGCCGTGTCCAAAACACTTTTGTTTTTGGGGAATTTAATGATGATTAATGATTAATGATTAATGATTAATTAAATGGTATATTAATGGTATATTTAATGATGATGATTAATTTAATGATGATTAATGATGATTAATGATTATTCATGCTGATTTAATGATATAAAAACATTGATGTGGATTTCATGGTTGAGAAAAACAGGCATTTAATAATGATTCATGCTGGTGAATGGGAGTCGAATGGGGGTTTAATGATGATAAACATGATGATGTATATAAGTGACCGAGCTGGGTTAGAATAGGCTGGATATGGCTGGAAAACACTCACATGACCGGAATAATCCATTGGTGAAGTACTCGATACCCAACCATTCAACTTGTAAACTGCTTCTGGTGAACTTAGGATCCATGGTAGTGGCCGAGCTCCTGGCTTTTTATTTGGTTGGGTCACAAACACCATCTACTCGGTAGATTTGCATCATTAAAAGAAACGTTGTAAATCCCACATTATTGGAGTTTAACTGCAACAAAATCATCATGAAACATCATAAATCATCATTAAACCTCCATTCAACTCCCATTCACCACCATAAATCATCATCAAATCCGATTTTTTCTCATCAAAACACCATGTGATGACCATTTATTGATGATTTTCCCTATGATTTTCCCTATGAAATCCCTATGTTTTTGGAGCATTTTGGAGCACTGGGCTGTCGCGCCGGTGGTGGGCAATGGCACTTCGGAGGAATCGGGGCAGCCCACCATGACCACCTCGTCCAGGGCGCGCACCTGGAGTGTTGATTGAAGTTTCATGGTGGTTTCAGTTGATGATCAATATACACAATATATATATGTATATATATGTATATATATATGTATATATATATTATATGTATATATATATATTATGTATATATATATATTATATGTATATCTATATATATGTATACATATGTATGTATGTATGTATGTATGTATGTATATGTATATATGTATACATATATATGTATGTATATCAATGTATGAATCGATCTGATCCGATGTGATCGGATCCGATCTATAATCCATTCTATGAATCTATGAATCTGTATCTCTCTCTCTCTCATCTAGTATCAGTATCTATAATCAGTATCACATATATCATATGGGTATGGATCAATACCTATTAATACCATTTTTAGGGGGATGAACATCCATTTACCAGCTATTTTGATGTTCACCAGGGGTACAAGGTTTTGACACATTGCCATATCTATCTCTATCCAATGTGGAAAAAGAGCCACTGGCAGCCACCTCCTCAAAGTTCTTTTCGCTGATGAGTGCTGCCGCAGTGATCTCCACGGGGGCCTTCAGCTTCAGCAGTGCCAGGTCACCCTGCAACGGCAGGGCTGGGGTGGCTGGGGTGGCTGGGGTGGCTGGGGTGGCTGGGGTGGCTGGGGTAGCTGGGGTGGCTGGGGTGGTGAAAAACTGTGAGAAACGGTGAGAAACTATGAAGGGAACTCGGTCTTGAAGTGTCGTTGATACTTTTCAATAGTCAATAGCTGAGTTTTGAAACTTTCGAAGGCTGTTATTTCACTGTTTTCATACTTTTCAATAGTTCTAAAGTAGCCTTTGACATTGTTTTCGAAATAGTGTTAAGAACTATGTTCCTTTCAGTTTTTAATACTTTTCAGTAGTGCTACATAGACTTTGAACTTTGAAATAATTTTGAAGGGAACATATCGGTGTCACTGTTGGGTATGTAGCTTCTATCTGGGCTTTTACGGGTTGCTGCAAGTTACTGCATGGCTGCTCATATCCCTTGAGCAACCAAATCATATCACCCATGTCTCAATTTCTATTGGATGGTCAACTCCCTATTGTCGTTAGGAAACCCCGCTACTTTTGTTGCTTGACTCCCACCCAAAAGCTGTTTAGTCCCATCACGGCGTAATGGTGCTTCACTGCCCATTTTTTGGGCAGTTAAATCCCAACCTTTCCCTGCTAATATATATATATATGGGTATGGATCAATACCTATTAATACCATTTTTAGGGGGATGAACATCCATTTACCAGCTATTTTGATGTGAACTACAGGGGTACTATTGGTTTTGACACACTGCCATATATATATATTCTCCCATCTTTTTCATCGTCTCAGCCTCCCCTTGATAGTCTCAAGTCCGCATCAAATGTGGACTTTTGAGGCGTGGCCCTTTTAATCCCCATTGGCCTCGAAGCTCCACTGATCGCCATACGCGCAATAGGCCACGATATCGGCAGAGGTGGTCACCTCTGCCACCAGGTGGCCACGGGGATGCGACCAGTGAACCAATGGGGATGTCATGTGGGGAAAACAATGGTGAAATGTTTACCATGTCCAAATGGGTGGTGCCAATGGCATTGTTTTACCCACATTGACATGTGTTGAAGCAAAAATCAGAAGTGATGTAGAGTTGTGATATTTTTCAGTGACCGGGACGTTAACAAACATGGCAGCTTTTGTCTCTTTTTTCGAAACTCGCTTTTTCCCAATGACCAAAGGGAACGAGTGAAACCGCCCTGAGACCCCGGCCGTCTGCAAATGCCGGCCATGCCTTGGAATTCCCATGTGAAGAAGCATCGAGTCGCATCCGATTCTCGTCACCTTTGCTGCTTGGTCCTACAATGTGAGGCCCCCAGTCGATAGCTAACTTGGTGCACATAACTCCAATGTCACTATGGTAAAAATGGTACTTATAACGAACTAGTTACTGGGGCGAATCTAAACCAACAAACATCACTAGGGGGCCCCCGGCAGATCGTAGCGAAAAGTCTCCACACTGACCGGAAGCAGCTGCTCCACCTTCATGGGGACCAAAAATGGGGAGAACTGGTAAACCATAGGAAAACCATAGGAAAACCCATAGGATAACCATAGGAAAACCATAGGAAAACCATAGGAAAACCATTGGAAAACCATAGGAAAACCATAGGAAAATGGTGGTTTAATGGGATTTAATGGGATATAACCTCTGGTAAACTAACAGTTTGCTATCGAAAATCACCATTTATAGTGGATTTACCCATTAAACATGGGTGGATTTTCCATAGCTATGTTAGTTTACCAGAGGGTAACCTCCAGCTTGTAGGAATTCTTGGGATATATAAATCCGGCAAATAAAGGGATGAAAAATGACCAAACATGGAGGCTGAGAATCTGGAGCACTTCATATATCGCCCAAGTCCAGGAAGACCCTTTTTCACAAACTATCCACTCAAAACATGGGTTCCACATTTTCGCTCCTCCTTTTGTGCCCACGTTCTCCCATTTTTCCCCACGTTTGGCCAAGCCGTCGGAATCCTCCAACCTTCTTGGAGGATTTCTCAATGGGATCCCAACCTCGGCAAAATTTGTTGGATCCATTTTAATGGAGGTACGTAAACGTACCATATATTTCTGGCCATATTTTGGATATCCCCTGAATCCCTGAAACCCCTTGGCCAAACTGCCCGGCCTTGGCCATTTATGGTCGCTCGGTCGCTGAGATCCCTGCGATCGATCTGCTTGATGGAATCTTTGATGACATGGTGACACGTGATCACCTAGCGGTGGACCCGTGTCGTTTTATAAGGCAGCAACCATGCATAATGTAAGTGGGTGATAGATGGGATGAAATATCTGGTTATAATGCGCTTCTTTCAAGTTTTTTTTTAAATATATATTTTTAATATGGCTATTTCATGTGGTTGTAATATGGTGGGTTGCGATAATATGGTTGTTGCCTTGTTACTAGTCAAAAACGCCGGTAGTTGTTACTCCAGCTGGATGCACATCCAAGTGGTGTCCATTGCCAAGTGAGGATTGGATGTCATGACCATCAGAATGATGTTCTCTATGGTATTCCAGCATGGCAATAGAAAATAACTATTCATATTATGGAGGTTTCCTAAAATGGGGGTATCCCCAGTTCTCATCAATTTTCGATTGGGATTTTCCATGACTGTTAGGGTAAGCCATTTATGGAAACCTCCATATGTCATAGATGATGTTTCTATTGGAATTGGACATTTTGCGGCCCATAGATCGCTGGAGTATGCGGATACTGATCCCTTTTTTATCCCAGCTTTTTTGGGAACAAAATGGTAGCAGGGTCAAAAAGACATAGCCATATGTTCAGAGAATCTTCATGTGGTTAGCGGTTGGCATCTCGATTTCTGACTCACCGATCCTTCGAACAAGGAGACCATTCTGGCCAAGGACCAGTTGTCTGTGTTTGAAATGGAAGTTTCCTAAAACGGGGATACCCAAAAATGGATAGTTCATTATGGAAACTCCTATCAAAATGGATGATTTACGGGTACCCCCATCTCAGGAAACCCCCAAATGACTATCAGTGGTTCTGAGAAGAAGTTCTTGGCCTGACGCATCACGACGCCATGTTCTCTCATCCCAGTCACATCTGCTTTTGATAGATTCCATAGCCATTCCGTTCCTGTGGTGACTCATTTTTTCCACGCTTGTTGGTAATTTCACGTAGCTGTGGACAATCACCACTTCAAAGAAATCAAGAAACGGCAAATCGTGATAAAAGCAAGATCTATTTCTGGCCATGGCTTCCAGTTCGCAAACTGTGAAAAATGACCATCCCATATTTTGACATCACCAGCGACGTGGGAAACCCAGGTGGAAAATCCAGGTCACATAGGTGCCGTTCTCGGAGTTCGAGATAACGAAGGCTGAGCCCTGAGATTTTGAGGCGCCCAGAGATTGGGGGTGTCCAACATGGGTTTTGCACAACATGGGAATTCATGGGATTCTTCCAATTTTGGAAAAACACCTAGAAAATTGACATAAAAATATCCAGTTGGAATATCTGGATATCCAAAACATCTTTGTTTTTCTTCGGATTGTCCACGGATTTCCCTGGAAGATCGGAGTCATGGCCTGCTTCCCTCCAGCACTTACGACTCGGGCGCCCGGGAGGATCATCCTGATCGGTCGCCATGGTAAAAAGGGTGGCGGGATTTCCCACATTTTTTTAGGACCATGCAATTCTGGTGTTTAACATTAGGGGGATGGGATATGTGAGAAAGTCTGGATATGGGAAAGTGTGGTAAATTTCCTCCTAAATGAAGGTGTATACTGTTTATAGCTGAGAAAACCATCGAACTAAATGGGGAATTGTCCAGCAAGCCATGTGACTGATTACCAGAGGGTAAAGAAACCATAGGGGAACAACTGGAAAATGAACGAATGATTGACTAATAGATACTAATAGGCAGACATTAATCAAGGAATTCAAAAATCATACGAATAGGGGCATAAGATTTGCTTAGATTGTGCGCATGCTTCAATGTTTGCTTTGCGTGTGTATCCTTGTGTGAAAACAACGACATATGTACATATTACACATATGGCATCATTATTAAGCTCCTCCATATCATGTTCAATTGCTTCAAGCAGTCTTGCATCGAACGAGATGGTCTTTTGGGAAAGTACCTAGCCAAACAGAAACATGAAATGATGACCCATCTAAACAAGCTCTAAGACCCAGGGAATCATCAGTTTTGGTCATTCTCTTAGTATCAACCATCCATTCTTGGAATGCCCACTATTTGACATATCTTAACCTACACCTGCACTACACCAAAACAGTGACCCTGTCCCATGGTCTGCCAAAAATCTGATCGCGGCGTTTTGCCCAAAGCTCTTCTCGCTCGCTGTTCCCTGCCATGGTCGGGAAGCAAAGTTCAAACTGCATGACACTGCATGACCAATGGATCAATGTCAAGTGCATCAAGTTTTTGGGGGGACATAATCATATGGCAGTGGGTCAAAACCCTGGTACCCTGGTGAACATCAAAATAGCTGGGATTTATGGATGTTCATGCCCCTAAAAATGGTATGTATAAGTATTGACCCATAGCCATATAATCCAAATCCATTAATCCAATTTTTCACAACAAATCCATGATCCATTGATCCATTGATCCATTGGTCCCAATGATCCATTCACATAATCCTGGTTGATGCCCATGATCCAAATTAAACGATCCGGCCTGCGACCGCATTGCCTCAGCCAGGCAGCTCAACGACATGACTCGGCCGCCAGAAAAAGTGGCTATGGCCCAGAAATAGATGGTTTATCCCCTGATAATCCATTTTTTTACAGTGTTTCATAGCTACCAAGAATTACTAACTGGTGCAGGATTTCTTCCAGGTTGAATAGTTGAATTCATTACTCTTTCATATGTTCAAAGGGCGTTTTTGGACGGCTTTGCTTGTGGGGATCTGTTGCCGCCAAACAATACATGGGTTTACTTCTCTTGATGAGTCAGGCCTTTAGTTTTTTAAGGGCACAAGGGGCTTAGTGCAGCCTGCTTCCGGCTGGTTCATACCCCATTGTCTCATGTTGAAGCAGGATGAAGTAGGCGATATCACCCCATGGATCGATGATCATCCTCAATTCCACCCATCACACATCATACACACACACACATTCACAAACACACATTCACAAACACACATATATATATATATATATGTATACACATACATATGAATATATATATATATACAATGAATAGATGTATGTATATATATAAATAGTATAGGTGTAAATATATATATATATGTATATAATAGGTATATAAGGTATATATATATAAGTATATATAAATACATATAATAGGTGTATATATATATACAATATGCATACATGTGTTAAAGCACACCACATTTTCACCAGACCTCCATCCAAGCCGCGGCGTGTCGGTGTCCGGACTCGCCGGCTGACCAGCGGAGCGAGGAAGGTGCAGCACCAGGGTGCCAGTAGTAGCAGCAGCGCATGGCGTCGAGCCATCAAGGGGGAAGCAACTGGTGACGGCTGAATTTTTTCGTTCTGGAGAAATCTCCTGAAATCTCATGTTGGGGTACCCTCTGGTAATTTAACATGGCTATGCAAAATCCACCCATTTTTAATGGGAAAATCCACTATAAATGGTCATTTTCAAGAGCTTTGTTTTTTTTGTTTGGGGTATCCGAACTGTGTGTGCCTTTCTTTTTGATAGATGGAAACCAACATTTGGAAGGATGATGACTGATGTTGATGTTTTTCAACTCTTGTTTTGGGAGTTTTTGTTTCCCTAAAAAACCATCATTGACAAAGCATGCGACTCATTCTGATGCTGCGACTCTTTTGGGAGCTTTTTCTTTCCTGAGGCCTCCATCCCGCGCCAGAAATATCATGTCCGGGGGACACATCCCATGGAGCCCCCCTGGCTGACTTCAACGTCAGCTCAAAATCCGACAGGTCATTTCCCACTGGTTGGATGTGCTTCCTATACCAAAATCTTACCATCTGGTTATGACATTCACAGTTTGCCATGGTTTTTCGATGGCCCATAGAAATAGATGGTTTACCCATTAAAAATGGTGATTTTCCATGGCTATGTTAAATAACCAGAGGGTAATTGTGTCTATGAAACAAGTTACTATCCCACAGAAAAGCATCAAGCAGCAAGGAACCGTGCATTTCTAGGGTTTGTCTAAGAATACCCCAACATCCCATGGCGAAAAAAAACATGTTTTCCATTCCGTCTGAAAATGGGACCCTCTGGTGATTCATAGCTATTGAACATGGCACATTATATATAGTTGATTTACCTATTTTCCACATGGTGATTTTCCAGTTCGCAGACTGTAAACGTTTACTGGAGGGTAGATCATATTCATTCCCCTTATTAATCACTATAGATATATTAACCACTATTAATATAACAGGATTAACATTTTATAGATACGTATATTAACCACTATTAATATACCAATATATCCTGAGCGTATCACTAATGGATACCAATTTTCAGACACACCCAGCTGGTCCTTTTTTCATCCTTTGGGTGTTCTTCGCACCGCAAAGCTCAGCTCGGCAAACGGCTCACCTGCAGCTAGTGCGGGTCAGCATCACATCTCCGATGACCGGTGCAGTGACGTGCACTTTGACGGCGTCCTGATTGGAACAATACAGCACCTCGGCGACGCAACGGCGATGTCTCCGTGCCTAGCTTCAAGGATATCAAAAGGAAGGATGACAGGATGACTCAAGAAATGTTTAAAATGCGGCAGATGTTCTAGTTTCCGTTGGAAAATCAGCAATCGGAGCATCCCTTTTAATGTCACGCACACGACAAGGCGCACTGAACTTCAAACCGCTGAAGCCGCACTTGGCATAGTTCAGGTTGATGTACTGCCCCGATTTTCCTTGGCAGAGACCCACCCGATGGCCCTGTGTGAATTGGTCAATCCTTGTTGATGCTTCATCCCCATTATATCCCGTGATATCCACATGATTGGTCAGTTGTGATGAGAAATCTGAAAATCGCATGAAATCACTCAAATACATACTGTAAAGTAACCATAGTTTTTACTACATAAGATCCCATGATAATTCAGAACAATTAATATTGGTTGTAGTGTAACCCTCAAACTCATCATCAACCAATTCGTATTGTTTGTAGTATAATCCACATAGAATCACCATAGAAATCATATAACCACCATATAATCCCAATATAATTCACGAATTCCAATGATCCATATTATGATACTATCATCCACCATCATGAATGATTATCATCAGTACCAGATCATCCCATGACTATCATGGAATATTTCAACCCTGATATGATTATAATTAATGATTATATCCCCATCATATATCATTATAAACCCAATCATATATCCCAAGAACCATACTGTTACCGTGACCAATCCCCATATAATTACCATATAAATCATCTATTCCCCTTGAAAAAAAGCGTGGATTCTCATATAATTCCCATATAAATCCCCATACAAATCATAAAAACATCTCCATATTGTCCCCCATACAAACCTTGTACATCATGTAGTCCCCATATAATCCCCATATAATCCCTATATAAATCTCTGCAAAGGCTTCCGAGGCTCGAAAACTCAGACCGTAGCAGGCACCGTTCTTGGGGCCTGAGGCCTGGCGCTGACGTCGACACGAAATCAATAAGTGAATAGCAATAATAGTAATAATAGTAATGATAGTAATAATCGAAATGCTTGTAATGATAGTAGTAAACAAGAGGAATGATAGTAATAGTAAATAACAGGGATTATAGTAATACTAGTAATAATAGGGATGACAGTAACTACATTCAAAAATAGCAGACAAGAGTGAACCACCCATTTTTGATGCAGGTGTGCAATTCGAGAGCCATTTTCAGTTGTCACAACAGTTGTGTTTCATCCCCAATAGGGGTGATGGAACGTGGCTGTAGCCCAGTTACGAGATATACCCAGTTATGTCTAGGCTATCGTTCAGAGCCAAATCTGGGGAAATTATGACTGGTTGGTGGTATACCTACCCCTCTGAAAAATGTGAAAGTCAGTTGGGATATGGAAAAAAATGTTCCAAACCACCAATCAGATGATATTTCACTAACCTGAATAGTTTGGCTGGGCATGATTTCCCTGAAATAAACCATGATTCCAGGCTTCGGGAGGACAGGGTCCGGTCGTGATCAAATTTGCCCAGAATTATGTTGTACTTTGAGCACATCAGTGTCCAAGAAAAATCTGACATGGATTGTACAATAGGATTCTGATTTCCCAGTTGACTGTGATAATCACCAATCAACAATCAATAATCCCATCATCCTATTATTTAACAGCCGCAAAACTATGGATTAATAGGAGATTTACATATTAATCGGTAGGGTTTAATAGGATACCCTCCAGTAAACGTTTACATAACGAACTGGAAAATCACTCCGTGTTACCTAGCTAGATCATCAACCCGTCGCAGATGCGACCTTGACATCCACTTTGCCGCTGCTGGAGCTGTACGTTTTCACCTTCACGAAAAAACTCTCCACCAAAAATTTGCCGCTATAGCCTCGCGCTTGCGCGGGTGTGCGCGCCCAAATCAGATCCGTGGTTTATAATCATCCATTTTTTACTCACACTATATATATATATATTGTATATATGCATACATATATACATATATATATGTATATATATATATCACCCCATATAATACAGTGGGATAGTGGGGATATTCCAGATATAATTGGTGGTATAACCATTTACTAAGTCGGATGCACCCCCAAACACTACCTTCTGGGAATGACGAATTGTTAGCTATGCTGTTCGTGAACGGTCCATGATGGTGCAGAAATACATCGCGTTTCTTTCCTGTCTTTAAAAACCATGGTGATTTTCCAGTTCACAAAGTGTTCGTCATTACCATTTCGGCCATTTGGCAATTTCTATGTATTTACCCTCTGGTAATTTAACATAGCTATGGAAAATCCACCCATTTTTAATGGGAAAATCCACTATTTCAATGGTCATTTTCAATAGCTATTTTGACATAACCAGAGGGTATCAGCGATATTATTGCCCATAATGGACACATGTTATCCATTTGTTGTAAATCAATTCATCCCCAAACATGGGTATGGGTCAAAACTCTGTACTTTTTTTGATCCAAACCATAGAGATGATGGGCTTTTCCCAACTGCACCTCAGAAAACCATAGAAAACCCACCTTTTTCGAGGATTTTCCTCATTTAGTTGGGGTTTTCCAATTTTTATGTCGGGAAGATTCAAGATTTCCAAGCCAAACTATTGTTCGTTTCGATTTTTGTTGTTCAACTCTATCCTCTTGTAACGTCAACAAAATCTGAGAGATTCATTCTTCTGTTTGTTCTATCCCATGACGGATCCTAACGGTGCTGTCAAAAAAATGCTAGCATGGATCCCATTTTCATATACCCCAGTCATGTTAGCATTAATATACCAGCACCATGGATCCGTCATGGGTATTGAAACCAATCCATCTGTGACATGCTGAAACCTTTTTGGGCCACGTCTCTCCACGTCTTGGTGAAATCAACGCTTTGTGAAATCCCATGTGAAATAGCCAGTGAGGTGACATTCCCATTGTCCCATAGAAAATACCCATATTCAAATGTCATTTCCATTGTATTCCCATACAGTAGGTGATATTGCCGTAGATCTGCTGGTTTTGCTGGTGATCTTCTCATGGTTTGCACGTGAAGAATCCATTGAAGATTTAGATCCCCGAAATTTTTGGATGTCCCCCCTGTTGAGGCAATCACATAATGAGTGAATGGGATGGGTTTATAGGATTTACCACTTTTTCATCCATCAATCTCTCCGTTTGGCCAGAAATCGCTAGTCATCACTTCATCGGGTAGCAATCATTAACAATCACTATTAACCACTACCAACCACTACTCATCACCATTAAATTCATTAACCACTACCACTTTTTGAAGCACTTTTTGAAGCACGCTATTTCGCCCAGCAGCACAGGGTGCCCTTCGGCAATCCCCCGTAGCCGCTGCAGTAGCGCTGTGCCTCCTGTGCCACCAGCGCCGCCGGATGTGGCGCTGCCGGATGCGCGAGCTGCGGCGGTGCGACGGCCGCCAGGGAGGAGTCGCAGCTGCTGCGCGCGAGGATCACGTCCAACGTCATGGGCTTAGTGATCTGCCAGCTGCCAGATTTCGGAGAATTTTTGAAATTTTGGATGGAGCAACTTGGGGTGTCATGGAATATCACCGATTTTTGATGGTGAAAAGGTGGAGTGAAAAAAACACTATCAAGTGACCAACATTTTGGTGGGGATTTGATGTGAAAAGGTAGAGTTGATCAACATTTTGACCAACGTTTTTGGTTGGGGATTTGATGTAAAGAAATGGTGTATCCCAACTGGAAAACTGAGGAACCAATAGGTATCCCAAATTTGGGTGATGTATTACACTAGCAACAATGGTGTTTCACCGGTCCCCATAACCTTAGAGATCCGTCCCCGACATTTCAGAGGCTATCTGAATACAGATTAGGGGTGGACACATCAAAAATTGGGCACCATTTTGAATCCACAAACGGGTGATTTTTCTTATGAAAATAGGCGAATCCTTTGATGGTTTCCGGTCAGCAGCTGTTCCCAACTGTGCCTGCACTACGAATTGATCGGTGTTGGAGCAGTATTTCACCTCAGCATCGCTACAAAGATGAACTTTCCCGGCGAGAAGCAGCATTTTTTCATAAGGAGATCATCCAAATTTGGGATTCTGCAGGGCTCATGTATTACATCTATTGACCACCCGAAAAATAGATCAGGGAATCAGAGGCCACCACTCCAGTCTGAGGAACTTGACACTCAGCTCAAAATTCTGGCTGACTTCCACAGTGTTCCACCAGCAAATTCACTATGATTCTAGTCCGTTCTATTTGCACAATGTGGTACCCCCCCAGTTATAAGTTAGTTTATAACCCCCATCAACTATAGATATATCTACCATAAGTCCTACTTATTGTAGTTGCAAACTAACTTAGCTATCTATGGGGCACCACTATGCAGGTTAAAAAAACGCACCATTTCTTTTTTTGCTGCTCCATTTCACAAGCATCGATTGGGAACACCTATCTCCACACGCTCCCAAGTTTCTCACCCTTCAACCCATCCTGCATGAGCCCAAGCAATGCCGTAGTGGGAAAAAGGATATCTATGAACCCCAGGGGAAGTCAAATAGGTAAATCACAGACATCAACACATCTGCAACTTGGGGGAATCTGCAAGTTCCAATTAATATGGCAACTTGTCTGAAAAATAGGATGCCCCGAAATCTCCTGGTCAATCGCCCATGACACACCAAATTTTCGAACAATTTTTACCCAACCAACCATATCCTCGTTATGGCACATATGTATATATATATATATACTGCTATACATCACTATATCCCATAAAAAGATCCCATTAATCCCAAAAAAACGTCACTATTTTTTTGACCAGAATGATCCCATTCATCCACACCAAATCCCCATTGCTGGTTGAATACTCCCATTAAATCCCTCTTTTTCTTGCAAAAAAAATATCATTCTACCAACATTTGGGTGAAATCCCCCATGAAAATATCGAAAAATGGTGAAATCATGCAGGATGGTTTATAAAAAAACAGGAAATAATCCCCAACTAGTTCGTGAAATATCATATATAAGCTATATCTATCATAAACCACCAGTTATAAGTTGGTTTATAAACCCCATTAACTAACCATAGTTGTCTAGTTCGTTATATCTATCATAAACCATAGAATTCAGCCGCTTATGTTCACCAACGGTTCACGCTTTCGCTCGACTGGGGGCGCCATCCTTTTTTTGGAATTCCCATCGTTTTTTTTCCATGCCCAATGGGAATTCAGCCCATTTTGTTCTCCCCATCCGGCTGAAATCACCATATCCCAGTCCCATCCCAGCTGCATCGTACTCCGCACCCGAAATGCCGCAGTTGTTGAGGTTGTTGGCCGTCAACTGGCTGCCCTCCTTCTCGAACTCCACGCCATCGCACTGCCCGGCCAAAGGTCCAATGGCCTGGAAGAGATGGGATTTTTGGTCGGATTTCTGGTGGATCTGTGGTGTGTTTATGGTGGGTTTTTCTGGTGGATTTGTGGTGAATTGGATGGTGAATGGGACTGATGATGAGTTCGATGGTGGTTGGTGATGTTTGGAATCTATTTTCGATTGGATGTAGGGGGGACAGGTACAGTCAGTTATGTTTTGGTTCTCTCCAAAAAGAATGGTGGTTGCAGCGGCATCTTTGTTGGTTTTGGACTAATGTCCTTTTTGGATTCAATACGAACTAAACAACAAACATGGGGACACCACCAAAGCCAAGTTCGGGGAATATCAACCAATCTGGGACATAAATGGGTTTGTTTGCCAACCAGTGATGTGTATGTTTCCTGGGATCATATTTAAGCATTTCAAGCCCCATCTATTTTGAGGGAGTTGTTGTGGATAATTAATTACAAATCATATCCTCTTGTCAAGAACAGACAAGTCAGTTTTGTACTATGCCATGCACCTAATATCCCATCAAAGATTCCCTTATCAACCATCAATTAATATGTGGCCATTGATTTCTTTGCACCTATTTCTCAGCTGGATGATGATTTTCCCAGCGAACCACACCGCCATAGTTCGTGGATTTCCCAACTTGCCATATTTGATGACACCGGAGGGTATATCCATTAGTATTCCATCAATATTCCATCAATATTCAATTGTATTCCCATTGTATACATATATATATATATGATGTATCCCCATGATAATCCCATTGGGTACCTCAACATCACCATTTGAAACAAAACAACATCACTACGACCGGACCAGTCGTGTCGCCTGCATGTCCAGGGATCCCGTGGTGCCATCGGAGTTGGTGACTTTGACCTTAAAGGTTTCCACCAAGAGCTGCCCCTCGTAGCACACGATGCCGCTGGGCAAGGGTCCCTCGCCACAGTCTTGCAGAGCTGCCTGGGCTAAGATAACAAGATCACTGAAGCTGGAAAACCAGCTGGAAAATGGTGGTTTTTGATGGGATTTAATGGGAGTTACCCTCTGATAAACAAATATAGCTATTGAAAATGGCCATAGAAATAGTTGATTTACCCAGCTATAACATGGTGATTTTTCCAGTTCGCTATGTTGAATTACCAGAGGGTAATGTAGCATGTTTTGTCACTTGTCACACGTAACGTCGGGCCACAAAACGTAACATAGCATAATGTAAGTAGTGCAGTGAACTGTAATTCATCTAGGTCATCCCTCCTATCCATCTATCCATCCATCCATCCATCGATGTCTATATAGATTAGAGATCTATGATGCACATAGACTATATACACATCGATTCTTCTCTTATTCCATCTTCCCATCTATATCCAGATTTCGATCCACCACCATAATGATGTTTCGTATCCCACTTGGTTATATAGTTTGCTGCTTAAATACCCACAGGGTGGTACCCCCCCAGGTATTTTTGTCGCTTTACAATCCCCATTGATTAGTTTGATATAACACCCCAAACTAAGCGCTGAGAAAAACCACCCTGGAAAAACCGTCAGTGGTCCATTCCTTCCCAGATCTATCCCCATTTCATCCCATTCCATCATTTAAATCAGCCCTAAATCACATTCCATTTGGTGAAATCACCATCACCACATTCCATCAAAAATCTCCGAACATTTCTGATGACTTTCCAAAAAAAAAACCATCCCATCGCTATCATCCCCTCGCTCCACGGCACTGAGACTTCTCCCTGCATCTCCTGCGCCAGCAACGCTACGCCGTGGTGGGGCGATGGCATCTGCACGAAGCTGGCACAGCTGCCGCGCGCCAAAGTCACGTCCAGGGCCATGGGTTTGAGGATCTGCCCGGGCGAACAATTTCCGGGTATCTGTGGGGAAAATGGTCGGCAAACATGGGCATTTTTAGCTGCAAAAACAGGGCTATTTGATGAGCAACAAGGAATATAATGGAATATATTTGCCAGCAAAATCCCAAGAAGATGGTGATTTGACCTGCAAATCTTGAGATTTTTTTCATCAGCAAGTGAGGATATACGGGATATTTTCTAGGGGATAAGTGACCAATAAGGAGCAAACAGGGATTAACCCAAGTATTGGGATTGAAGAAATATGTGGATCAAATACACACGATGTCGGAATTTCAAGAATCACGTGAGTTTTACTCCACAAAATAAGGGGTTGTAAACCAGCAAAATGGGTATGTTTCATCGGCAAAATGTGGGATACAATCTGAAAAAATGTCGAGTCACTACAGCCTAATCATGTTTGGATTGCACCTGAAATCAGAATCCGTTTCCATTTTTGGTTGACTAATCAACAAATTGTGGTTGGTGCCATTTGGCAAAAAACCTGTGTGTCTTTTCTCCTGTCATGTTGCAGCGGGATGTAACGGAGACAACCAACTTAAGTGGATCTTTCATAGGAACAGAAGGAAACAACGGGGATATCACGAACAAAGCTAGACCAAGGAAACGCATGGAAAAAGAGTCGGTGTCATATTTGTTGCAGGGATAGGACAAGTGCTTTTCATGTAAGTGATGCACATGCTATTCGTACATGATCGTAAACCATGATCATACCTTGACATAATCGTAGCATACACATGCCAGTGCGTAATACCTTATACAGAAGCATTTAAAATACATGTCATGTATACATATGGGGTGGTTTCAAAACTGGGACCCAAAAAAACTATGGTCTATCACCATCTTTGTCATTGAAATGGCCATTTGGGTAACTCTCACCCTTTCCTAAACCCTGGGATGCGCTAGTGAAAACTTGGAAACCGGTGCACCTGTACAACGAACTGATCCTGGTCGGAACAGTACTTGACCTTGGGGCAACTGACAAAAGCGAAGAGTGAAACTCTAACAGCTTCCTGAAAGTCAAAACCCACACATCTCAAGACACTTCACCCCTGAAAACCGGGAAAACCCATGGAAAACCCATGGAAACACTTCATCCCATCCCATCCCATCCCAGGGACGTCGTACTCTGCGCCCTGGATGCCACAGGTGCTCAGGTCCTTAGCAGTGACCTGCTGTCCACTGATCTCAAAATCCACGCCGTCGCACTTGCCCGCGATGGGCCCAACGGCCTGAGCCCAGGAGGAAGGCCCAGCCAGGCCCCGACCATGGCAACACATGGTGACCACCACGGGGTGACCATGGTGAACTCCTGATTTTCGGTGCCAGGAGCTACCCCAACCATGATTTACGGCACCTGCATGTCCATGGCGCCGCTCTGGCCCTTGCTGTTCAGCACCTTGACCTGGACATCAAAACTTTCTGGTCGAAAATGATGGATCACTTCGTCCTTTTTCATTTCTTCATGCCATTTTCTGGATGCCATATGTGATATAATTGATACTGTTTGAAATGCTCCGATACTGTTTGATATGGTTTGATGATGCTTTGACATCGTGAAATCCGGTGAAATCCTGCGCAGAAAATCCCTGCTTTTAGTGGGCTAACCTGGGTTACCCTCTGGTATAGCTATTGAAAATGGCCATTTATAGTGGATTTACCCATTGAAAATGGTGATTTTCCATAGTTATGTTAGTTTACCAGGGGGTAACCTGTTTTTGGGAAGGTCCATGATTTTTTTGAGCCATTGTCCCACCTTAAAGGTCTCTACCAACAACTGGCCCTGATAGCAAAGATCCGCCCCTGAGGGCAAAATCCCCGAGCCAGTGCAGGCCTCGCCAAAAACTGGGGCGAAGAATCATCAATTGTTGTGGATTTGGGTACCCTCTGGTAAACTTTCACATAGCGAACTGGAAAATCACCATGTTATAGCTGGGAAAATCAACTATAAATGGGCCATTTTCAATAGCTATGTTAAATTACCAGAGGGTACTACGGGTGCTTTTCACACATTTGAGTGCTCCTATCTCCAAATAGATGAGGAGTAATCCATCCATTTTGGGTGGAGGTGTTGCAGATGATGCCGACATGTCAAGAGTCATTAACCAGGCTCAAGGCAACTTGAAACAGATTCAACGTTTGCCTGTGAGTCACCACGGCGAGGTATGGCTCAAAATAGGGTACCCTATGGGCCAAAAAACTCACAAATTTCATCAGGGGCAAAGGATTCTGATCAACGACAGGGAACAAGCGCCAGGAATTGCCCAAGGATGGGATGGATGGGATTTATCCCAGAATATCCCAGAATGGCAACTTAAAATTGGACAATTGCCCTCTAAACATTGAGGGATTCTTGGGTGGTCGAAATTTTTGACCTCTTCGAAACGCCATGTTTGACAGTCGATACCTGAGAGTTGGTTTTGTATCAACCAAATATTTCTTCCGGTAACCAAATATCAAGCCTCATTGGATCATCTATATACTTATATACAGATCTCACATATTGTACCTCCAAAAAAAGGATGAATAACTTGGATTTCCCATTAAATTAGTAGTATATCACCAATTATGTCAAAGATCTTCCCATGGTCTTCCTTCGGAGGTTTTCCCCATCCGTCCCCGAAAAAGCGGTACCGCGGTACCGGGCCTCCGCCGAGGCGGCCAATTTCCTGCCCTTCATTTGCAGTGCCTTGCAGCTCCGAGGCCAAAGAGTTTTGTTTTGGGTTGGTGATTGATATAGCTATGAGTCAACAAAAACACATGCCCAATTTTGTTGGAATACCTCTATATAGACATATATATATATATATTAATTATATATATATATGTATGTATGTATATATATATGTATATATATATATATGTATATATATATGTATATATATATGTATATATATATGTATATATATATATTTGTATATATGTATATATATATATATTTGTATATATGTATATATATATATATTTATCCAATTTTTGACCATCTCCGTACTTCTTGGTTCGCTGGATCCCAGCCCATTCACTTCCCACACGAAGCACTTTTCGCCTGTAGAGAACACTTTTCGCCTTCCACAGCGCACTCATCCTGTCATGGCTTGCGGTTCCCAGTAGATTCAGTGGGCTGATTCTCTTAGAATTACCGAAATTTACATATACATTATATATATACATATATCCACACATGTATGGTATATCTATATTACCAACCAGACTACACACACATGTACATATGTATATATTATATATTATATATACACATACATGTGCACTACTCCTTCAGATCGAATAGAGGGTTTCCTGCCATTCTCCCCTTGGACCTATCTAGTGCCGCTGGCTGCCATAAACCTACCATGGCTGGGGAGGGTGGCATAGCCACCCATAAAAGTGGTGATTTTGGAGATGGTGATTTTGGCTGGCTGGGTGGCAACCACAATAAATCGGATTCTGACCATTTTCCGAAAAAAACACTTCGATTGGAACATTTGCAAGATACGACTGTCTGAAAATACGATACTCAATTTGATGGTTGATCACCATTTTCCCCAATCAAATAGCCAGAAATGGCCATTTGGAGGATACCCTGTTTTCAGACAAATCCAGATAGACCTCCAAGTTCACTTGGTTTGTCTATGAATACTACAGTTATCTATATAGCTATACCAATTTACCCTTATTGGAGTTCTGTTCACCAACTTCGCCATACATCAGCAAACTCCCATTAAATCATTTTCCAGGCAGTCCACCGTCCTTGATAGCCCCATACATCTATGTGGAATACATATGTATGTATGTATATATATATAATATAATATAATATAATATAATATAAAAAAAATAATATAAATAAATAAATAAATATATATATATGTATATATATATATGTATATATATATATATATATATGTGCAGCAACCCTCAAAAAAATGGAAAAGCCAATCCGCTCTCTTTTCGGCTTAATATATCATATAATACACATACAGTATAGTATACATATTATAATACAAACCAAACATGTTTTTCATGGAGAGGTGGCCCTCGAACAAAGCCAGGCTCACATCCAGCAACTGAAGGTCCACCTGGCTGCGGAGCTTTTTGCATAGCCCATGGATGTGGAAATGGCATTTGTAATAGCAATTTAGTATACTAAACATAGTTTATATAGTTTGTATAGTATTTATGGCAAAGTTCAAAAAAAGTTCTCTATAAAATACTTAATATTTAGCACATGCCCAAGTTGAATACATTACGTTTAGCAATGCATACTTATACTGTATATATGTATATATGTATATATGTATATATGTATATATGTATATATGTATATATGTATATATGTATAAATGTATAAATGTATAAATGTATATATGTATATATGTATATATGTATATATGTATATATGTATATATGTATATATGTATATGGACAGCATATTTAGATATCTTGTCTCTCATAGATCAAGTACAAGGAATTGCGCCATGGCACTGGGTGAAGAAATTCTGTGATTTCCCCAAGAAACAGCACAGAAACATGGATTGAATATTCTTACATTGGATGATGAGAAATCCCTTGTTGTTGTGGCCTTTCAGAAAAAAAAGGTGAACTCCTGACTGGTTCCACAGCGCCTCAGCGATGCTGAGGGACAAAAACGTGCAAAGTATCAGCCTGCGATGCTGGATCAAGAGAACTGGGAGCTCAGAGCGAAGAATCCGCTGGAAATTTCGTTTGCAAAACAGATTTCCAGCACCTGCTGAACAAAAAGGAATATGAATCCTAAGTGTCCTAAGTCCATCTGATGATGTAAATTACAAGATGTATCAACATTTCTGTGCAACAAATCTTTGTTTTTGTGAAATCCGCTGGAAAAAGTAGCTGCAGCCGTTGAAATGGCGGAGAACAGTTCTCCCGATCTCCGCAGATTCCATCGTAGACAAATCCAGAAAAGTGCCAACATTTATACCCTCTGGTAAACTAACATAACTATGGAAAATCACCATTTTCAATGGGAAAACTCACTATAAATGGCCATTTTCAATAGCAAACTGTTAGTTTACCAGAGGGTAAATAATTTAAGAGACCTCTACATTTACATAGTTTTTCCGTTACATTGATTTCCCCGAACTGGATTTTTAGGGAAAATCTGTAAGAAACCTCTACATTTACTGGAAAAACGCAATGCTTTCCTGCAGATTTTCAATATATCTCCCCTTGTAACCATCACATTCTCATGATAGTATCATTCTATCAATTATATCCCATTATCTCACCATCTGGATGGTGGTATACCTACCCCTCTGAAAAATGATGGAGTTCGTCAGTTGGAATGATGACATTCCCAATATATGGAAAAATAAAAAGTCATGTTCCAAACCACCAACCAGCCATTGTATCCCCATTTATAGATGGCTTCTCCATGCTTTTCCACATCAAAATACCAGCGCCTTGCCAGCGACATGGACATGAAACGCTTTTGATCGTGGCCTTGGTGGCTGGAGCTGACTTGGGGATGGCTGGAAATAGCTTGTCCATATGGAAGATTTATAGATATCTATATTTTACACACATCTGAAATACATTTCATGGATTATCATGGATTACTCATGCATTCTTATTCATGGCTTGACACTTGATGACACTTGATTCTGACATATTCTGACATTTTAGACCATCTCATCCATCTCCTATCTTCTGTAGACTATCTCATATTTGTGGTACATAGACCATATTGATGGCTACCGAAAAAGTTGGCTTCGGTCCTCTGAAAAGTTGGGGCAACATTCGTTGCAAACATGCAACACATGTTGGATACTTTCATGAAATTACGGTATAATCATGTATTCTAATAATTTTCATGTAAACTAATCATTTATTTACATCTTTACAATCAAGGATCATGATATAGAATATAGTGTTATTATGGTGTTATTATTCTATAATCATATCATAACACTAGGTCATCATCACCATAGACCGTCTCCCAACATGGGATCCCAAGTCCTTCGGGAAGTGGGGCCTCGGACCAACAAAATGGTGGTCCAACAAAAGGTTGCTGGAGCCAATGCAGTAGATCCAGCGGATTGTTGATCCAGAACTCAGAAACAAAACCTTAGGTGGTGAAGAACTCAGAAAACTCGAAAAATGTTGGTGAAAAAAGTGATGTCACTTAAACTTTTTAAGTTGGTTTTTTGTTGATAGATATGTCTATGGTTGGTTTTACACACCAACTTCGAACTGGCCCTCCTTGTAATGCGGCTAAACCAAATGATAAACTCAACTTGGAACTGTTTATCAACATCTTCACAAGACTGTATGGTAGGCTCATCATTGGCTTTGCCACTTGAAAAAACGGGTCACTTATCTCTGGCAAACTGATGTCAACACTCTGTCTGGCGATGCTGTTTACCTAGTTTTATCTTGAACTGTTGTGAAAAAATATCCCAGGAAAATGCTAGTTTTTATGCTCTCATGCGAGGATTCATATCCTCATCTTCATTGTCTTCTAATGAATGTCTACATCTAGGTGACTCCTATAGTTGTTGTTGGCATGCTAGTTACATGGTCGCAGCAAGCCAAGCTTTATGGGCCAACCTCCTTCTGCTGGTGAAAATAAAAACATCTCAGTTTTAATATGTGCAAATCCTCTGATCAAATTCAAACACATTAGGAAGTGCACCAAAAAACATTTGAAATGGAATTCAACTAATTTAACATGATTCAACCCATGAACATCGCTCAACTCCATCTCCATCCCCAAACTCAGCTCCTTTTGCCGCGCGCTCCGCAGATTTCGCACGCGGTTTCGCTCCCGCTTGCACCGCGGGCACGGAACGGCCGGACAACTTCAAAAGTTCGGACCTGGCTGGAACATCCACCATTTAGATGATGATCCCAGCTAGAAACCGTTCCATTTTTTTGGTGGATTTTCCAGGGATTTTCCACGTTTGATTTTTGGTAACCCCAAATGCATGCATGTTGGGAGTTGTTGTTCGATGTGCTCAACATGGGATAGTTCATTCTTGGGCTTCTTGACTTATTTTCCCCATGAAATCCTTCCAATGTTGATAAAACAATGCGATAAACCATCCCAATTTCACCATTTTTATAGGTGGTATGTTTACCATTCCCAGTCATGGGTGGTTTATGACATTGTTTTATCCACATTACTATGGGAATTGGGTATTATAAACAATAAATTGTTGATTGTAAGCCATCAATCCTACATTTGTATAATGAACCATTAATTACCATATTCAAGCCATTAATATCTAGTTAGCGGGGATTATATAAACCACTTGATGTAGTCATTACTGGTAGTTAGTGGGGATTAAATATGAATTTACCATAAAACATAGGAATGTTTCATGGTCAGATCACCCCTTGATCCAGACACTGCCCTCACCGGACCTTCGCTGTGGGCTGAATTCGCTGAAGGTTTGCAAGACTGCTGACCTATGCAGCGACGCATCAAGTTGGTCATAGTCAACCATGAATAAGATATAGTTGATATCTGGTTGGTGGTTGACCTACCCCTCTGAAAAATATGAAAGTCCAGTTGGGGTTACTCTGCCCAATATATGGAAAAATAAAATTCATGTTCCAAACCACCAGCCAGATATTAATTGATATAACTGGAGATGTATAGCCAGGAAACCATGAAAACTATATTTGCATAGGTAGAACTCCAAGGTAATAGGATATAACTATAGATATAACTTAACTGATATAACCAACCATTACATAATAGGATGAGGGTAGAACAATATCGACAGCATCAGCAACATGACTGGTTCTGCTGGATTGTTTGATGGTCAAGTCATCATTAGATCCCATCAACCATGTTCATTACGCTTGGTTTTAAAACCCAATTCTTTTCATTTTTGGTGGTGATATCCTACATAACGATTGAAAAACATATAATGATGATAATAAGGATACGCATGATGATAGTACGATTGCTTCAACACCTCATAAACCATGTCGGAAAAAGGCCATTCTTATCATTCCGTCATGCTACTGATAATCAATGGATTGGTTTAACGGAACATTTACCGGAAAACCCCAGATTCAATAGGAAAATCGATGGTTTCCCGTTTAGATTTTCCCTTACAACCGCTATAAAGCCCATGAATTGATGATCTCGCCACCTTCGCGGTTCACGGCAAGCATACCAATCGAAGTGCTGCGGGCTTGGTCCTGCGGAAAGCAGTGATGGATTCATGGAAAATAACCATTTATAGTTGATTCACCCATCAAAAATGGTGATTTTCCATAGTTATGTAAACGTTTACCAGAGGGTACTGTGGATGGTTGCGAACTCCGAATCACCAGTTGATACATGGTAAACATCCCATGATTTTCTTCTGTCAACCATCCTTTTGGTGGTGCAGGATTTCGCTCCTGCCAGCGCCATGCGTTGCAACGCCGCCAGGCCTTCTTTGGGCTTGCTGGGATCCTTGCGCCAGGCCTGGTTAACACCCAGCAATGCCTGGTGGAAAAATGGTGACTTAACTGGCAAAAATGGTGACTTAGTGGAATTTAATGGTGATTAATGTGAATCTATTGGTGATTAACATTGATTAAGCAACAAAAATGGTGATTTAACTAGCAAATATGGTGATTGAACCAACAAAACATATATTTTTTCTTGGTTTTTCTTGGTTTAGGTAGCTGTCAACCAAGAAAACATATGTTTTTTGTATAGATTTCCTGAACAACTATGGGAAAATGATGGTTTATCTCATGGCGGGGATTTAAGCAATCAACAATGCTGGGATTTCTTGGGATTGGAGATTTCATGGCGTCGTAATGGGAATATCAATGGATTCAATGCCTCTGGTGTCATCAAAGATGGCAATGGAAAACCCTCTACATTACCCTCTGGTAAACGTTTACATAACTATGGAAAATCAGCATGTTTAATGGGTAAATCAACTATTTCTATGGCCATTTTCAATAGCTACGTTAAATTACCAGAGGGTAAAATACATGGAGGTTTAGTTTGCTGGGAACATCATCGAACTCGATTTTCCACATTGCCATGTTTGATTACCAACGGGTACTTTCGCCAGCTTTTTGGGAGACAGCCAAGCGATTTTTGTTGCTTCAGGTTCATTGTTCATGCTCAAATCTCTCCAGTAAACTAACATAGCTATGGAACATCCCTATTTTATGGTATATATCATGGAATTATAATAGGTAAAACATCTATAAATCATCTATTTCTATGGTCCATCTTCCATTTATAGCTTTACCTTAAAAATCACCATGGTCATTTTCCATCGCTTGTGGTTGGCCTCCAAAGTTGCCAGCACTGCTTCGTGCCTCGTCTCCTAGGGCCATAGCAGTTTTAACACGATTTTTCGCGGGGAAAGAACGGAAAGAACCCAGCGAATTTTTGAGGGCTCTGGGCTCGCCAAAATGGGGGACTTTCCCGCAACAAGAAGGACTTTCCTTCGCGCCTCAAGCACCAAAGGGTGATGGACTCGTTACTCGTTTTCAACATCAACCAACAAAAAAAGGTGACATCATGGGGAGATTCATAAAATGGGAATATCATGTATCCGGCCTGGGAATATCATAGGAAAACCATAGGAAAATGGTGGTTTAATGGGATTTAATGGGATTTAATGGCACTTGACCTCTGGTAAACATACAAAAAACTATGGAACATCATGGAACATCCACCCATTTATAGCTGGGTAAATCAACTATTTCTATGGCAATTTTCAATAGCAAACTGTTAGTTTACCAGAGGGTAACTCCCATTAAATCCCATTAAACCACCATTTTCCTATGGTTTTCCTATGGTATTCATGGGGTTTATGAACCAAACCATCACTGGTGGTCCCATCCTGGATATCTTTGTTCGATCACCTCTTTGATCCCCCGGTACCTCCGTCATCCCATGTGATAACCTAGGGGACTTGCTAGGCTTATGAAAACGACGGTTTCTGAGTGGGATGATCCGATGATCCTCCAATTTTTCATCATTGATATATCATTTCCTATATGGCATATGGGGAATGATCATCCACGAACTTACCACTATTGTACCCACCAGAAAAATGTCTGTCGGTTTATAAACCTCATAAACTCGTTCGATATCTCTACCATAAACCCAACCATTCTATATGAGTTAAACTACCAGTGAAATACCATCAACGATCAACACCGTGTATATTGTTGGTTTATAAACCAGTCATTCCCGGGTTTAGGAGGAGCTCGGCATACCACCAATTCCAAGCCCGAGGGTTTATAAACCTTAAAGATTGATAACACCAATGATAAATATGATTATTGATAATCATATCCAATGGTTTAGCTTAGTTTCTTCGAACACCAACTCAGCGACGATCTTTTTCGCTGGATCGCTTAGGTCGGCACTGTTAAGATCTCATCCAGCTCTGCATGCCACTTGGGAGCCGGCATAGTGGCCAGATACCATAGGGATTCGCTGTCGATTTGTTTGGATTCAACGAAGAAAACATGGGGGTTCCAATCTCCCAATACTGAACGAGTTGCCAACCATATTGAACGACAAGTCTTGGTGATCTTCCTGTTTTGTTTCTAGGTTTCCCAATAATGGAGATACATCTGATGAACAAAAGCCATGGGATTCCAACCGGCTTTTGAGCCAAGGACATGGCATCAAGGATTTTGGCCACGGGAAACATGGAGACCGGAAGTAGGTTCAGGATGGCTTCGAAATGGTGTATCCATATGTATCCATGTAAAAAATGAAGTGGGTCAGACCAAATAGAAACTCCCCATCTATCAATGATTTTCCATTCAATTCCGCATTATTTGGGGGATTTCCTCTTGCCAAAGTCATCCAACTTCGTTACTGTGTTGGCCATTCATCGTTTGGCGATCAAGTTTCATTCACCTCGGTTCATCCTCAGCGCCCATCCTATACGGAGGTTTCCGAAAATAGGGCTACCCCCAGTTCTCATCCCATTTTCGATGGTTTATACCACCCATTTACGGTGAATTTGGGAATCGTGAAAAATTATTGTTTTAACCACATTATTCATAGGATTCTCCATGAAATAAACCAGCCAGCTATTGGGGATCCCCCATGACTATATGGAACCCATATCCAAAAAAAACCGGTCAAAACACAGACCCCCAACCCAGCCCAAAACCGCCGCGGTGTGGACCTACTTTCCTCCAGACCCTGTGCGGTGCTCGACTCAGCGCCCGTTGGAGGCTCGGTTCGGCTGGGTTCGGCACCGGGATTGGATCGGCGCTGCTGGGCGAAAGCTCCAGGATCTCCAAAGTCACTGGGGTACTCTGCATAGATGAACTAGTCATCAGTGGTGAAAAAAGATAAGAACTCCATATGTTTTGTTAGATACTGGTTAATAATGGTTTTTTGATGGTTAACCAATATCTATATGATTTTGATGGTTATGACCATGATGAAATTGATCCAAGTGGTCCGCAATTGTGGTCCTGAATGGTTCACGAAAAGCCATCGATCACAGCAGAAAGTCATGGTATGCCCTCAACTGGGTGTGTCTCCAGCAATGGATTCTTACATCATCATGATTGTGGCTTCAGAATCTGGTCACTTCAACATTCGAACCAGCAGACCAAATGCTTTCTTGCTTTCTTGCTTTTATATGCTTTTATCCCTAAATAGTTCTCGACTACATATTCGATTTTTTTCTACTAGTCAAGTACAAGACTTGTTGGTGACATCCCTGCTCTTTGCTGGTCTCCTGAATCTTCGCTTCGATCAAAGACTCATGGCTTCCCACCTTTCTCGGTCACACGATGACGACGCACCCCATCGGTCAACACACCCAGTCATTTGGCCCTAAAATCTCAGTCCGAAGGCTGCCTTAGCAATGGCTGAACTTCACTGAAAGAAGTGGGGATATGATAACATCAGGAGTAAAATGGGGTTAGAACATTAACAATTTCACGGAAATATGTAAATATACATAGTGCATGCGATATCATGGTTTATATACTTTATGGACATTTCGTTTTATTGGATATCAACAAGAACAGGTTTTTACCGTCAAGACTGGTATTGACAACTGGAATAATGGGGACTGAGAAGTCACCTCTTCTCCGTATTGGAGAATGGGAGGATTTATCCCCAATTTATGTTGCCATCTTAAGGGAAACATATGGGAAATTAATGGTGGACTATGTAATTTTGGGGTAATTGCACAAGGTCTTGATCGTTAGCTGGTTGAATCCGATTACCCCTATTCTGAATAGTTGGCTTCTGTTGGCTTTGCATCTCCTTTATCCACAAGGAAATGGTGACTTGGTTGGTTCCCATCTTGATCACATCCCATCAACACAACAGTTCTTGTTGGTTAGATCACCATATCTCTTAAGTATATCCCACTAATCCCTCAAAAAAAATGTTTGCTTTTCCACTGCTTAATCACGATGATTCAATGATTCAATCTCCTTACGGAGCCATGAAATGGTAGCCATTATATTTACATGTTCCACCAATTGTCATTCAATCACGATCAAATCCTAAATTTCACGATCACAAAATTCATTTGAGCAGTGTTCAGAACCGTGTGTTGTCCATTTATACTTTATGCTGGTTGTTTGAGCACTGAATTCCCATGGATTGTGATACCCAATATATTGCTTAGTATTCCCGAACTAATCGTCAACCCGGGTGTTGAACCCTGCTCATTTCATCAACTTCTTCGCTGGTCAGTAGATATTCCTATAAAGATGAACGGATTTTCCACTACGCATCCAGTTGGTTGACGCAGAGTTGTGCTTAATCTTCAACATAGTTTCCCATAGTTGGGAATCATACTATGATATGATTGTGTAGATGACCATGAGATTACCCTCTGGTAAACTAACATAGCTATGGAAAATCACAATTTTTAATTGGACAATCCACTATTTCTATGGCCATTTTCAATAGCTTTTTGTATGTTTACCAGAGGGTAACAGACGATTAATCATAGATAAACCATTAAGGATGAATCATCTATGTTGACCGCAAGTTGTTGTGCTAATTTTTTCAATGACTACAGATGATGATGCCATGGTTTCCCATTATCATCCCAACTTTTCTTCATCTTTAACAGGATCATCCCCCAAAAAACCATAAATGGTCGATGATTTTCCCGTAGTTGTTCCATTCATAGCTATTCTTCAATGGGTTTTCCCATGACTTTCCAAGGATTTTTGAATTTCAGGATGTTCCGAATGATTTCCACTGAACAAATCGCTAGACATATATATATATACTATCCCAAAATAGATATACCAGGAGTTTCCCATATATATATACTATCCCAAAATAGATATACCAGGAGTTTCCCATATATATATACTATCCCAAAATAGATATACCAGGAGTTTCCCATATATATATACTATCCCAAAATAGATATACCAGGAGTTTCCCATATATATATATATACTATCCCAAAATAGATATACCAGGAGTTTCCCATATATAT